TAACTAATGAGTTAATAAGACTCACTAATTAAGGAGTTTTCTATGGGAGTTTATTCTCTTGTAGTCTTTGCTTAGTTACTTATTACATGTTTATTATCTCTACTAACAATTGTGTCCATTGATAAAGTATGTTTGATTATGGACCTTATTATTTGTCTTGATTGATTATGGATTGTTTGTTTGGTTTGAATGATTCAAGTTGTTAAACTTCCACCCTGATCTTTAGACCTAGACTATGTAATTGTTGATAATGGAGAATGTGCCAAGTTAATATTTTCTAGATGATATTAGTTATTTCTCTGTGCCTCTAAGAAGAACCAAAAGGTATGATATGGCAAGAGACTAATTTAATCACGAAGGTAGAACCAAGTCTAATATGTATGCACTAGTATACTACTTTATGTGGTATGTATGAATGAGAATTTAGATTTCATGTCTTGAAATTTTTATGAATGTTTTGTGAATATTTGTTATATTGAATTAGAAGATCTATTTGAGCAATTTAGCGTATCATAAGCTTCCACCCATGAAGTTAGTTTTCTTTTCCTGAAACCACAATAAGAGCCATGTTTATTCCCATATGATATACGCACGTGATGTGGAGTTTCCAACTATGATGAATTAATTTCTCTAAAGTGTTATACATATGGCATATCATCTGTAAAATTGTGGGTGATGTATATGCTAAAATATGTGCTATATAAGTTTAATGTATGACCTTAATAAATCTTGTGATTAATATCTCAAGTATAGTTTTTCCGCTAATATGATATAGATGCAACACGACACAAATGCTGAAATATTGATTTATGTGTGATTGAATTTAATTATATATGGTATTATATGCCAACGTAAAGTTGAATTATCGGAATGATGAGTAAAATAATATGAAAATCGGAGAAGAAAAATATTAGTTTCTAAAGCATGAGAATAAATATACAAAAGATTTGTATAATATTCTATCTAAATACCGAACTCAAGGTGAGAATTGATGATTCATATATTACTTGATTTACTCACTCCCAGAAGTGAACAGGAATTTGTATGATTAATAGGATACAAGTATGTTTAGATCATTATTTTTTGATTACATGAAAAGTTTATAAGAATATCTATTTTAGCAAGAAACAATGTTAATTATGAGCTAAAGAAACTAAGTATGACATTATGAGTTTCTTAGTTGAAAAATGTATTCATGCATCATGCCTATACTTTAATTTTGAGAAGATTTAATACGAATATTAATAAAATTGGGCAAGAATTGCGAGTAAGAGTTTATAAGAATAATTTTATTATGTTTGATACATGCATTGCTAAAAGAATTTATGACTTGAGAAGAGAATGAATTTGAAGATTGTTGGACTAGTTTATACCCCCATTTGCAAGGATTAGAGGGAGATAGTGTTTACTCCATTGTTTTATGTAATCCTTGCACATGAATAATTAAATATGTTAATGGTCAGTTTGGTACATACAGTAGCCTAAATATCAATAATTTATTTAATAGAGGTTGCCGCATGATAATCAAATATTTAGAAAGATATCATCCTGAAGATGGATATGAATAAATGTCTTTACCTATATACTAGCTATAAATGTACATATTAAGTTGATGTCCTAGTTGGACAAGATCAGTTCCTATTGAACTAGCACACCTGAAGTGTGGTAATGCAAAAGGTTACAACGATAAGAATCCTTGGAAGAGAAAAGAAGCACTAATTGACAATGACAAATTTGAAAAAGTGACACATTTTATGTATCTCCTGAAGAGATCATTTTTAATACATTAAATGTGATATGATTATATAAAGTACTCCAGAAGAGTATAAAATGTTGTCCAACAAGGTTAGCATGCATCAAGATTACAATCAATGTTGTAGTGGAGTATGAGTATTAGTTAATTGTCTTGCCAATTGTAGAAAGAAACACATTGGTGTACTTATATCACATCATATTCATAACAATGCATAAAGTATCTCTAATAAGGTGATCACCATGCCAATATTATAAAACTGACCATAATTTAAATACTAAAGGAAAAGTGATTGGATGTGATAATCAATAATTAGGCCATCCGGGGTTTAATAAATTCCCGTTATGAAAACCTGAAGTTTCATTTGATATGAAAGAAATAATGTGTTGACGCTCTCTCATGTTAAATATATAAAATAAATTGAATGGCAAGACATAACATTGAGATGGAGCTATATTTAGATTGTGATTTTTAATAGTTTGTGTAAAAAAAAAAGTTCAAGAGATAATATATTGGTTTTTCTGAATAATTGGTGACCAGAAGTTCACTAGAATAATTTATATGTTGACAAATATTAGGTGACCGGAAGCTCATCACGTACAAGTTATATGTGAAAATTTTAAGTAACTAGTATTACTATCAATGTTTCTAGTGATCCCGAAGATCACCACCTAGTGAATTACAACAAAGTTTATATTTGTATAACAATGCTCTTGATTGGGGCTATTATATGTCAGTACATAAGGAATAGAATAAGAAATTAGCAACTGCACAATTTATTACCCCTATTGATATTGATTTCTAGAAGAGAACAAAATATTTCATTATTCTCCAGAAGAGATAGAACTTTGTTGAATATATATGATTATCCTACGAGATGAAATTTGATGCACATGAAATTATATTCTAAGTTGGTGAAGAATTTCCCCAAAATTCGAGATATTTTACCAACTTAGAGGGAAGAATTGAAGTAAGTTGGAAAAATTATAATACTATGAATAGTTGATCCCTGTACATGCCAACTTTTGTATCAACATATGTTACACATCTATGATTTGATTTGTATACCGTTATGACCCATCTAGAGGAATAGAGAGATATATTTTGATTATGTTGATAATGATATTATGTTATACACCTTGCCAATTTACTTTAATCACTGCACCTGAAGTGTAGTTTGTATGATCGGTTCCAATATAAATATGCGATATACGGCAAGATAGTGCAGTTGATACTTTTAAAGTATAACAATAGTATATTAATACCATAGTGTGAGAAATGCCCTTAATATATGGTATAAATATCTGAATTATTATAATAGATGGCCTATTATGTAAGAAAAGTTATGATGGTACCAATGAGAAATGCATTCAGATATCATAGTAAAATAGCATGCGAAATGTTCGTTATAGGTTTTTTATGATACCGGTACACAATAGAACCGATGAATAATATGCATATGCATAATGGAATGGACTAATAAGTAAGGGATCTGAAATATATGTACATTTTGATGTCGACATAATGATAATGATCATAAGTTTATCATGGACCCGATGTCCAATGAAATATGAATTTTTAAATCCGCACTGTACAGTGTCTTGCATCATTTTGAGTCTTATGCATGTGTGAGTCATAAGTTAATGGATTATTTATTGCATATATATGAAGTTGTTAGATGCATTACTCATTGTATATTTGTTAATATGTTATCATATTTTCTATATCTCATATTGCATGCATTAGTTTCTTACAATAACTATGGTGTATGTAAATGTTCATTCAAAGTATAGTAAGATATGTTTACAATTTTGATGAAAAATTAGAAAGAGATATTAATATTCCAATTGGCTTATAATTGTGATGAAATTATTGATGACACCGATTTAATTGCACATTATGAATTAAGAAGAGTTCCTAAAGAACTTATATACGACCTATTGTAATATCCAGCCCTATAAAGTTTATACCTTGAATTTGCAATTATTATCAAACTCTTGAAAATCTATATACGTAACAACATTATTGACATCTCATCCTGAATTTTGAACATATGAGAGTTAATGAGATTTACTATTTGTATTTGCAAGAGAGCTATCGTGTCAATAATGAAACGTCTAAAGAATATCAATGGACACAATTGTTAGTAGAGATAACAAACATGTAATAAGTAACTAAGCAAAGACTACAAGAGAATAAACTCCCATAGACTCACTTATGCGTGACAATGTTTTCTTATGGTCCAGAAGAACCATGACTAGCGTATATAATTACATGTGTTATATCATAATTCATATGAGAAAAATGATATTAATAATATCAAGTTTTGTCATCAAATTATTACTCGTATTAATGAATGTTTGATCAAATAATGATCATCAATATTTATTATTAACGACTTCCAGAAGAAGTCATAACCGTATAAGTTTACCCTTTAAATCAACTATTAAACAGATATTTGAAATAATGATATTAGAGATAAACACATGCATGGTGAAATGAGGACACTTCACATGTTCATGTGAAGACTTGAAGATGCAATTTCAGATTATGAGTATCGAAGGTCAACGAGTGATATTAACTACACATGAGAAGATATCTAACATATCGGATTTATTGTTGCGACACTAGAAGATCTCAAGCTATGTATTCATCAGGGGGAGAAAATACGCGCTGCACTCTTTTTCCCTTGACCATGATTTTGTCCCACATTGGGTTTTCCTGGTAAAGTTTTTAATGAGGCAGCATCTCGAGCGTATTACGAAGAATGTTGTACAATTTTTCCTTCATTAGGCTTTTATCCCATAGGGTTTTTCCTAATAAGGTTTTAACGAGGCACACTCTTCGATAATAGACATCCAATGGGTGTTATGAAATATTGTGTGGATATCCATTATCCTCCTTTATCATTTCAGAATGTTCTAGAACTAGGGTTTATTGTTATCTAAGCAAACCCTTGTTATATTGTATACATATATATCCCACTCTATAGAAGATATAGACGGATTTATTCTCTCTCTAATTTCTCCTCTTTCTCTTTAATTTTATAGCAGTCAATATATTTTGTTTTAGTAATAGTTAATAGATGTCTCAAGTGATATGACCTAAGAATTCAAGATTGAATTTTGGCAAAATCTGTTGCTCTCTATAGACTTAAATATACAGTAAGTGAATTTTGCCAAATTGTTACCAGAGAATCCACTAGAGAATAACAAAATCATTAACTTTTCATAACAGACTCGATGAATGCAGACAGAATAAATGAACCTATGAATTATGATTTTGTTCCAAAAAGAAAGAACACACTGTTGTTATATCTTAGCATCAGTCACACGCACAAAACGGCTATATATTCTTCACAGTTGATTGTGGTTTTCCATTACAGCAAATAGCTCTATACAGCTTCGTGTCACTGGTACACCAAAAATTTAAAAAAAAAAAAATTAAAAAAAAAAAAAAAAAAAAAAAAGGCAAAGCTTTCAAGAAAATCAGGAGGCCAGCAGCTTGTCAACGAGGATAGAATGATAAAACTTGCTGAGAAAGAACAGCTTTTAATACAAGCTCCGGCAACCTCCTGCCTCCCACTCTTGATGCACAATATCCACCTACTTACGGGACTTCTTTCATTCCTACATAATGCAGCATGAGCAAACAAATTTCTTTGACTCTTCAATCTTCTTCTCTGCTTAGAACAACATTAATACACTTGAAGTTAGATACGGAGGAATCACGTACTGAAAATAGACTCAAAAGACTGATTAAAAAGCTCGTTTAGTACAAGGCGACTTTGCAGATGAGTAAAGTTAACTGAGTATTCAATGCAATCCAGCAGTCCAGAGTCCAGACTTTCTGGGTTTTCTGATGGCATGTAGCAAATCCTGAGATTATTTAGCATCCAGTGATCACAATCAGGAATCAGGATTCATAGTAATAGGCTAAAGGATAAATGGTCAACTCTGGAGCACTTAAAAGAGGATAAAGAACTAAGTTATTTTAGTATATGAGAATTATTTCTGTAAATTCAGGTGATAGCTGCCAAAACAATGCATTCTGGTAGTAGCTGCCAAAACAATGCAGTATTGATCACAAAAGTACAAAAGTATCTGAACCTGATTCCCATATATTGATTTATAGTATTATCTTGTGCCACTAGGCAGGAATAAATGCATTATATTCCACCATTCACAATGTGACCAAAAGAATTAACGAAAATCTTAATAATTGTTGAAATGTATAGTATTAAGCAGCAACACAAGATAAAACATACATCTAAGTATCAACCCCCCCCCCCCCACCAAAAAAAAAAAAAAAAAAAAAAAAAAAAAAATCTGCAAGAAAAATGCCATAATTTTTTTTTTTTACTAAATCTTGTCAACTTCGATCAATTATTTTTGTAAAAGCTACCCATTGTATTTCTTTTTGTTTGTCCACATTTCCTTAATGCACAATTTCCAATAAACAAAATCAAACATCTTCAACTTAAAAGAAAAAAAATGACATTTGAACAAACAAATTGAGACAAATCTACAAAAATCCAAATGACTATTTTTTTTTTATATAATTTTTTTATTAATAAAATTTCTCTTATTTGAAAATGAAGTTTGCAAATGGGACAAACAAAAAAGAACGAAGGATATGTAAAAACTCCTAAAAATTTGAAGTTATGTTATTTCACATCGAAACTCATTTAATATATACTTTTTTTTTTATCAAACTAGAAAGTTTTGAACATTAAAGTAAAACGTCGCATATTAATTTTAGATAGAGGTAAAATCCAATCAGTTGCAAGAATGTACTGCCACACTTAATGAAATATTCGTTTGCATGGTCACAGTCTCAGTTTTCGAGTTTGGTTGGTGGAGATGGATCCAGGCATCCAGTAAGTGAGGCTAGACAAATTATCTGTATGTTCATTCTCCCTAGGCCCCAGACAATCAGTAGGTAAACAAATAATAGAAATCAAACCTAATGCAAGGAAAACTTTGGAAGTAAAAAAAAAAACTTGGATATAAGCTTGCAGTACCTAGCAATAGTTCATTCCTCTTCACATTCACTAATACAATTATGTCTTTCTACCTTTCTTTAAAAGTTACACAAACTATAAGCATTGGCAGTTGTGTGATTATATGAGTGCATGTGCTAAAAAATCAAATAATTGAATGATACAGTTGGCCTCTAAAAAGAGGATGCACATTTCACTCATTTTTAGAAGGACCACGGTCAATGATAATTTACATAATAGAAAACGAACAGAAAGCAACAAATAACACGCGTAACTTCTCAAGTCACAACCAATCCGGCAGGGGAAGCCAGAAGACTAGCGCCAGAACATATAGATTACGTATAAGGAATAGTGATAAGATATCTATTGCGCAATCAAAATAAATGGCTACTAACTTATCCAGGAAAAATTTATGCATAGGATCTGAAATTGCAGATTATACGATATTCTGTATCAACTCATACCAGAAGATTAGATCTCCAATTGTTTAAAGAGAAGATAGTATCCATAGAAAAAACTCAACTAAATATTAAAGAGCCATACAAAAAGGAAAGCACCTGCTTTAGTCTTTGTTTGAGATGGCTGTACAACAACATGCATAACCATGACTCCACCAGTAAGCTCACCAAAAGGTGCCCGACACTGGCCAACAGTCTTATTATTCTCCAGAATCTTACCAAAGTTTATTAATTTAATCTCATTTGCCACTTTTGGAACAACAGTTTTTCCTGAGGAAACATCAGAAACAAAAAAAACATAAATTCCTAGTAGCTAAGCACCGGAAAAGAAGCATATGTTATCTACAGAAAGATAAACACCGATCAACAAACAATAGTTGATAATATTCATAGTAACTGCAGAAAGAAAAGATATAAAGTTAAATACATATCCACACTGCCACACACACCCCCCCCCCCCATCATAAGAGGCTAGGACAATCACTATCAATAGGATGCCTGGTGCCAATCTAAGTCCTAGAGAAATGACCCTTTTGGGCGTTCATGACAGTGGTATAAAATTATTGTCTCCTAAACCCACAGTTTTGTCAAGTGAAGACAGCAGCTTCTTTTTAATGAAAAGGCTACACCTCAAATTCTGATGAGTGGGAGCAAAAGTACTAAACACTAAAGCAATTTCTGAGTTTAGTCCCAAAAAATAAATAAATAAATTAATTAATTAAATTAAATTAAATAAAAAAAAATAAGCAAGAACTGATGCGTGAACCATTCGATCTCCACCTTGTTATACTGATGAAGATAAGAGATGGCTAACATGACTAGAAGCTTATGAGAACAATAACTGTTGCACATATTAAAGAGTACTAATAATCACAATTTAACTTCTAGATACATAGCCAACAAACTTAGAACGACTCCAATGGTAAACTTATCTGCAAATTAGCTTGATATGCCACATAAGATTTCAAACTAATTTCTTTTATAACTAGTTTGTGCCCCCAATGGTTAGCTAATAGCTTGGGATTTAAATAAGCCTTATTTTCTTAATTAGCTTTGTAAATTTTATTATATTCATTTATCAACCCCTCTTTTTGACAAAATTTTTCCAAGCTAATTTTTTTTTAGCTCCAACTGTGAAGCTAATAGCTAGGGAATTTTCTAAATTGCAAACAAGTCCCTTGCTACAAACATTGGAGATACTCTTAAACCAATCAATTAACAGCCCCACTAGCCACACTTCATCGATAAAAAACCTATAACTGCATAATTCAAATAACCTCTGAATTCAATCCCAAAAATAACATTCAATACAAAGAGCCAACAAACTATTTTGCATATAAATAAGCTTGAACAATGCATCAACCATTAGAATTGCCATCCTATCCTACATATTCATACATACAGACAGTAAACATGGACAAAAACTTCAGAATGGACACCCTTGCAATCTTTTCCTTTAATTTGCGCTTCGTATATTAAAGGGTACAAGTAATCGCAATTCCACTCTATTCAATACGAAGCTAACAAACTAATCCTAATTCAATCAATCAGCAGCTCCATACCACCCCAACAAACCACCCTCTTCATCAATCCAAAAACCAACTAAAAATAAAACTGCATAATTCTATAAGCCAAAACCGGCAACCCCGAAAACAGCCAAGTTCACTAACAAGGACTGGATCATAAATTTCATAACTAAAATCACTTTTCTCATCCACAATTCTGGGAAATTTAAACCAATATTATCATCAAATAAAAACCATATAATATACAAAACTGATGATTATAACTGCATAAAAAAGCAAAAAAAATCAACGAAATAATGAAATTTAATAGATATTCTAGACAAACCTTTAGGCCACTCGGACACAATTCGTTCTTTCAACATCTCAATAGTCGAGGCAGAAGAGTAACGAAACGGACCAATATCTGATCCATCGTATAACCGGAACTTTATATCCACAAGATCTTCTTCCGGCATTTGTATTGAGTTGACTCGAACGATTCACCAAAATTCAACAACCCCAGAAAATAAAATTTTGAACCCAGAAAAATTCCTAAACTGGGGGTTGACCCACCAAATAAAATCGTCAAAAACAATTATGAATAATTCAGATGATTTAGCAAAATTAAACTGAAAATTACAGGGAAAAAAATACCTGAATTTCAAGGATTAATTAAAGTAGGTGGATCTAGGTAAAGTAAACTTGGAAGAAGAAGAAAGTCGAATTGAAATTGTTTGTTGTTGGAGATGATGATGGTATGACCAAGTATCGTAGTTTATTTAAAGTGAAATAGGAATTGGTTGCCAGAAAAGAGGAAGATCTAGGAAGAAAAAGAGGAGATGAGAAAGAATGATCGAAAGAGGAAAGTTTGGAATTGGAAGTTAATTTTTGTTTATTTTGAGGGAAAAGGGTGTGTAATACCCATGGTAAAATTGGTGATGTTATCAATTACACTGTTGTTGTCAATTGTAAGAGAATGGTGCTACCACTTTGCCTTGGTTGGTATACGTGTGTGTGTGTGTGAGGTGAGGAGAGTTTCTGGCTGGTTTCACGCCCCCGGTTGAGATTTTTACTTGACCTCATCAATCGAGTCGGATTGGGTTGGGTACTTGGGTTGGGTAACTTTTCAAGGTTGACTTTTTAACATCAAATTAGATTATTCTCTATCAATCTATCTTATATTTTTTTCTATTTTATAACACGCTATCAGCACTGGGAAGAAACTAGAAGGAGATTAATCTTGATCATGGGTTTTGATCTTGTAAAAATGAAATCACACGTTTCAAGAATGTCATATCATTCCCAATCCTTATTAATTAATTTGGGACTAGTACAAGGAGTCTCACGGTATTAATAATTTGGTTACAAAGAACTACTCGTATTATTTTTCGATTGCATTGGTTTGTTTATCTTGAATCATCTTTCTCATCTATCCATGATATAATAGATTAGCCTTAATCAAGGGCTATACTTTATTTTCTTTTCATTGACGTTTTCATGAGTTACAGGCTAGCAGATGACGTTGATAACATGAAGTTGACGATAAGGCTGGTTTTTAAAGTGGGAAAGGTTTTGATATCAGGAAAGTTCATTCTCAACTATCCTGTTATTGTTAATTTTAAACCTTTACATAATATGTTTATATTGTTTCCCAAATTTTCGTATTCTTATTATTCCTGGAGTTCAATGAGCAATTTGGGAATAGTTGAATTTGATGCAGATTAACTAATTAGTAGTTTTGTTTTGACTATGAGTTTTTTTTAGTTTGAATCTAAAAGGGTATTTAGAATTATTATTGGGGTTAATTTTATGAACGTAGGGTTTTCATGAAATTGTATTACATATATTTGCTAGATTTTGTATTACTTTTCCTATCCGTAAATGAGTTTGGTTATTTCTCTATGCTTGATAGCAAATATGAATGGTTTGATTAAGCAATTATTTACCCATATAATTTGTTTGTGAAATCCTATGTCTAATGCCTTGAATGTTTGTAAATTGTACGAAGTAAGCCTAAGGTACATGTGAAACTATTTATAATTTATGTATTGAATTATGTTTTTATATTTCAAGTATGATATGAAACATGTGGTTGCTTATGTGCTTGTTTCTATTTTCTAATTAAGCTTTATCAGACAATATATTGATATAATTGATCAGACAGTATAGTTGATTCAATCGATTCAGATATGTTTTTATTAAAGCGTGAAGTAATAGGTTTTCATATTTTTACTTTCTCATTCAATTATAGTATTATGTACCTACTTGAAGTTAGATTATTGGAATGAATGTAAATTGAATATGATGTGCGGACCTGAAGTTCCTTATATTTATAAAGAGTATTCATGTCTTATTTTTACCTTCTCTTTCTGAAAAATGTAGATGGATTGGTATATATTCTCGTACATATGGACTTGAAGTTCCTTAATTAATTAAATATATAGCAAAAAGTGTGTTATGAGTTCAAGTAATTAAACATGACATTGTGAGAAACTATACATAATCAACGTTTTATTATGCCCATAAATATAAGAGGTTTTGTTTTTTTTTTTAAGATGAATGTAATTGAGCATGAGAAACATGATAAGTGTTCTATAAGTATAATTTTATATAAGCATGTTTTTGCTAAAAGGAACACGTTACTTGATACAAGACATTGCCAAAAGAATTTATGGCTTAAAAGTTGCAAGGATTTTAAAGGTTGTTGGATTGATTCATTCCATACCCCCATATGCAAGGAATAGGGGGACATTGTATGTAATCCTTGCATATAAATAATAAAATATATTGATGGTCAGTTTGATACATAAATAACTTAAATATCAACGATTTATTTAATAGAAGTGGCTACATGTTAATTAAATATTTTGAAATGATACCATCCTGAAGATGGATATAAACAAATAACATTTATCTAAATGCTCTAATTTAAAATTGATGTCCTAAAAGTACAACATCAATTGTTGATGAACCTATAGCATGCCGCCTGAAGTGTGATAAATCAATAGGTTTTAAAGATGATTAAGTATCTTTGAAAAGGAAAGGAGTCACTATTGACAATGACAAATTTGAGGAAGTGGTAAATATCATTACATTTCTAGAAGAAATCACTGTAAAGTTCATATGTTTCATGATTATATAAAAGACTCCAGAAGAGTATGAAATATCCAACAAGATTAACATGTATCAAGTTTATAGTTTAAACTCCAGTAGAGTATGAGTAATTATTGGATAAAATATTAATTGATTGTCTTGCCAATTGTATAAAGAAACACATGTTGGTGTTCTAATATCACATCACATTCATGGCCATGCATATAGTAAGTTTAATCAAGTGATCACTAGTTTTGAAAACTGACCAGAGTTCAAATTTAGAGAAGTGATTGGATGTGATAATTAAATTAGGCCATCCGGGTTTATTATTAATTACCCGTAATGGAAACCTGAAGTTTCGTTTGATAATGTGCTGACGCTTTCTCAATGTTAAATATATAAAATGAATTGAATGGCAAGACGTAATATTGAGATTGAATTATATTTGGATTGTGAGTTATAATAATTTATATTCATGAAAATTTCAAGATTTAATATGTTTTGATTTTTTTTTATATAAAGGAGTATTGGCTTATAAAGGAGTAATGGCTGACCAGAAGTTCACCAAAATAACTTATATATTATTGTCAACTATCAAGTGATCAGAAGCTCATCAAATACACTATTTAAGTCTTTAACAATCCAGAAGATCATCACCTACTAGAATTACGAGCAATTGATTTATGCTTGTATAATAATTCTTTTGATTGAGGCTATTATATGTCAGCACATATTAAATTGGAGAAGAAAGAAAAACGTACAACTGCACAACATATGTCTCCCCATTGACATTGATCTCCAGAAGAGAAAATATTATTGAAAATTTAATAATAAATACACATGAAATATAAAGTTAATGAATAAATGATTCTTCATCGAAATTGTTCTCCAGAAGAGATAAACCTCCCAATGAAATGAATTTTAATGCAAATTTATATACTAAGTTGGTATAGAATTATACGCCCCTATAAAAGAGATATATTACCAACTTAGGGGGAGAAGAAATAGCAAAGTTGGGAAAATCGAAAAAAAAAATAAAGAATATATATGATCCCTATAATGGTAGTTTGAAAAGTTATATATATGCCAACTTTTGTATATATATTATCAAGATATGTTGCACATTTATGATTTGATTTGTATTCAGTTATGACTCATGTTGCATAGCGTTGAAGATACATTTTGGTCATCTTAATTATGGGTATACATTGAGATAAAATCTTGCCAATTGTACTTGAATCACTACACCTGAAGTATTGGTTGTATATGATCGGTTCCAAAATAAAGATATGTTTAATAGATATGATATTTGGCAAGATAGTGCAGTTGACACTAATAGTGTAATAGTATATAAATACCATAGTGTATGAAATACCCTAAAAGTGGTATAGATATCTGAATTATTATAATAGATGGCCTATGATGTAAGAAAAATTATGATGGTACCAATGAGAAATGTATTCAGATATCATAGTAAAATAGCATGCGGAATGTAAGTTAAAGGAATTTTATGATACCGGTACATAATGGAACCGATGAATAATATGCATATGCATAATGGAATGGACTAATAAGTAAGGGATCTGAAATATATGTACATTTTGATGTCGACATAATGATAATGATCATAAGTTTATCATGGACCCGAAGTCCAATGAAATATGGATTTTTAAATCCACATTGTACAGTGTCTTGCATCATTTTTAGTCTTATTTTTCATGTGCATGTGTGAGTCATAAGTTAATGGATATTTATTGCATATATAGGAAGTTGTTAGATTCATTAGTTTATTGTATATTTGTTAATATGTTATCATATTTTCTATATCTCATATTGCATGCATTAATTTCATACAATAACTGTGGTGTATGTAAATGTTCATTCAAAGTATAGCAAGGTATGTTTACAACTTTGATTAAAAATTAGAAAGAGATTAATATTCCAATGGGCTTATAATTGTGATGAAATTATTGATGACACTGATTTAATTGCACATTATGAATTAAGAAGAGTTCCTGAAGAACTTATATACGACCTATTGTAATATCCAGCCTTACAAAGTTTATATCTTGAATATTGCAATTGTTATCAAACTCTTGAAAAGTCTATGTGATTACATTATTGACATCTCAACCAGACGTTTGAGCATATGAGAGTTAGTAAGATTTACTATTTGTATTTATAAGAGAGCTATCATGTCAATCATGAAACATCTAAATAATATCAACGGAATACTTATGCGCGAGAATGTTTTCTCATGGTCCAGAAGAATCATGATTAGCGTACATAATTACATATGTTATATTATAATTCATATGAGATTGAAGAATGACATTAATAATATTAAGTTTTGTCATCAAATTATTATTAATGAATGTTAAATAAAATAATGATCACCAATATTTATTATTAACGACTTCCAGAAGAAGTCATAACCGCATGAGTTTAACCTTTTTAATCAACTGTTAAATAGAGATTTGGAATGGTGATATTAGATATAAACACATATATGGTGAAATGAAGACACTTCACATGTTCACGTGAAGACTTGAAGAATTAAAGATGCAACTTCAGCTTAGGAGAGTCGAAGATCAACAAGTGATATTTTACCAACTTATTAGAAGATATCCAACATATTGGATTCATTGTTGCGACACTAGAAGATCTCAAGTTATGTATTCATCAGGGGGAGAAAATACGCGCTGCACTCTTTTTCCCTTGACCATGGTTTTGTCCCAAATTGGGTTTTCCTGGTAAGGTTTTTAATGAGGCAGCATCTCGAGCGTATTACGAAGAATGATGTACTCTTTTTCCTTCACTATGTTTTTATCCCACAGGGTTTTTCATAGTAAGGTTTTAATGAGGCACAATCTTCAAAAATGGACATCCAAGGGGGAGTGTTATGAAATATTTGTGGATATC